CATTGGACCTTTAATCAAATGTCTAATGAATGAACATTCTAAATGACAAACTTACTGAAAAGCTTTCTATAGGTGAATAAACATGAATGGTGTCCTCCCACTTGCTGATACATTGGACTAGGCACTTGATTAGGGACCAGGTCACAGGTTCAAATCTTGCTCAATAAAAAGTATATGTATAGCCCTGGTTACGCCTTGCATTGACCTGTGGTTTTGCATTATAATTCTTAAATAATTTGCCTACTACACAATCACTCAGCTGTAAGAGTGATTTAAAGGTATCGCCAGTTATATGCTGTCAACTTTGTCTTGAGATCTGGCAGCAGAACTGTTAGCTGTTGCGTGCTAATCGCTCTGAGGCTTGGTCAGAGGAACAATAGCCGTTTAATGAGCGGGATAATGCACACAGGCAGCTAGTGACAGAGAGGGGCTTACCAAGGGACAGGGAAGTCAATGGCCAGTTTATGCACCATCTTGACAGGCTAGCAAAAGCTACCAGTAATTATCTGTATTAGCATTTTTTTAAACTAAGTGTGGGGAGGGTATCAACTGTTGTGGGACTGTGTTTGGCAATGTGTTTACACTACATCACAGTTCAGGCAGGCTGCACAAGTTGGGCTATCGTGCTTGATAAACTGGTAAATATTCCCATTTTCCTAGAGAAATTGGCCAATTTTCTTGCCTGTAAATGGTTGTTCACAAGTAGCCTATATGAAAGCAAATAAGATTAAGAATTTGTTTGTAATTGATTGCTTGAATGGTGTGTGTATTGTTCCTAGTAATAGTTTGGGATGTGCTGCTGGTATGTCTTCAAAGTAAATAGATCAATTAAGCAATTAAGTATATATTAAGTATCAAGCATCAATTAAGTATCTTAAGTATCCATTTAGCATAAACTGGGTCGTTCGAGTCATGAATGCTGATTGTCTGACAGCCGTGGTATATCAGACCGTATACCACGGGTATGACAAAACATTTATTTTTACTGCTCTAATTACGTTGGTAGCCAGTTTATAATACCAATAAGGCACCTCAGGGGTTTGTGGTATATGGCCAATATACCACGACTATAGGATGCATAAGAACAGCCCTTAGCCGTGGTAAATTGACCATATACCACACCCCCTCGGGCCTTATTGCTTAAATAATCCACAATGCTTTGGGATTGCAAATGTACACTGTTCAACAAGATGGCTTCAACTTGTGTCTTGATAACTGAGCACTAGATGGTGGTAGAGATGTGGATTTACATCTGCTGTTCATTGACAAATGAACTGAGGACGGCATTCAATCAGTTCTAGATTGTGGTTTCCAAAAAGCGATTGCATTTGACTTGCACAGCAACATCTCCTGAAAGGAGGGAGTTAGACACTTGGTACAGAAATGTTCAGTCCGGCTGCATGCACTGGATTATTTCTCAGCCAGGTTTTCAAACTGAACAGGTCTCACCCTGGGACTTCCAGTTTCTAAATCCCTGGTCAACTCCCTCCATCCAGGAGGAGATATGCTGCTGTGCAAATCAAGCCCTGCTGCAAGTGCTATACCTTGTTTAAAACCAATCTATAACTGATTGAATCCCAGTCAGACCAACTAGCAAATCAATTTGATGCTAGTTAAAGGTGGAGAAAGAACTTGAACAAACTTAAATTCCAAGAAGTGAAAAAACCCATCCAGGTGCTTTAATAATGATTGATTCATTTCATTTATTTATTGCAATAGATGTACAAAGTATTGGTAACCTTAAAATGTTAAAATGTTAGAAAAAAAGCACATCTGTGACAGTTAACAGTACAGTATATCAAAACATTACTGTTTCAACCAGCTGGGTAGATCACATCTAGGTAGATCACATCTACCCAGATGGAAGAGCATCTTTACACCGCTTTGTCAACACAGATTTTCGTTCAAAGGCATATAAAAGATAGAAATGTCTGAAAAAGAGAAACTGAAAATGTTTTTGTTGTTGATCAAAAATGCAAAAATTAACATGCAAATTAATTTAAAACAAAAAAAATAAAAGAACGTGGAGAATTCTAAACTAAAATAAATATCTTTCTCCATATTAACTTGCCATTAATATTCTACTCCCTTAATTTATCTAGTTAGACTACTACATTTTTTATTTACATGTTAGTTTTTCTTTGAGTTACAGTGTGAACTAAGGGTTCTGAGTCATGAGAATTTTTGACCGATGCTTTTCTTCATTTATTGTCATGGCTCACAACAACTCAAACACAGATTGGAGGGGGTGAGGAAGAAGAGGGGGGGGGGGGGGGGACTTTGGCTACAAATACAAAGATGATGAAGATGCCTCAACATGATGTAGACACCAGTTGCAGGCGACATGTTTTGGTCTCTTGGACAAAGCATAGTAGCGTCAAGATACTGCTAAATAATGACATTGAGAGGATGTTACAGTATTAGACTCATCACACCCCCACATTCTACATCTAACTATACATAGATTTTAAAAAATAAAAATAAACACACTAACACACCTTATTTGGTTGTGACATACCAATAGCAAGTTTTTTGTATTTTTACGTGACATCAACGACAAAGATCCCCGCCCGGTTGGATTGATACATTTTTTAAAAATTCATATATTTAAATATAAATGTAGAGTAACCCGTGTTTTGTTTGTAACATTGTCGCTTTGTAACAGTAACTGAGGGTTGAGTGCTTTACACACCGGTACACAGAACAGATCTTGGTTAGTAAGATTGTACCATCGGATTTCTAAAAAGATCATTAATGACATGCTTTGCACATATTTGAAATAAATATTTTATACACTAGTATGTATATATATATTATACATACACACACACGAGAGATTATATATATATATATATATATATATATATATTTTCATTCATAATCACATGGCGTAGTCATGGTCTAGATAAAGGACAGAATGGTGAGATGCAATCGTGTGGGTGGTAATAGTACAAGGAAACGGAAATGCAAAGCACACTGCATGTGGATTTCCATGTGGGACTGAAATCTAAAAACTCGGCACGGCAGCAGATGACAATAAAAGCAACAGAATGAGAGACCATCCCTTCATCGACTCCCACTTTAGTGTTTATCAGATTTACATTCAACTGACCCAAGCCTCCTGCCAAAAAAGTCATAAAGGATGAGAACTAGGGAAGAGCGGGGCAATGACGTGGTCGATGCTATGACCTATAGACAGCATGTTGGGTAAGGCGTGGGCAATACTGTACATTATAAAACGCAAATAACGCTGTTTTGATCCAGTAGCATTCGGCAGTTCATATTCTAAGACCCTCATTAACGAGTTAAAGAACGAGTAACTTAACATGGCCACCTGCTTTGGGCCATTCTCACCCCCGAGAGAAGGGCCCACATGGTACGGTACGCACCACAACTTTAACTCTCCCGGAACAATGGAAAAGCGGGCTGACAATAGGTATATGGACCAGCCTAAAAAGGTCCAAAAATGGAACTGAGGGACAGTGGAACCTTTCAAATAAACCAGGTATGGGCTTTTACAACAAGTACTTATTACAGTAGCTCATCTGCATAAAGGCCTGTATCAGTTCCCTCTTGAAACATGCTAATCCATAGCTTCTACCGATCATTTCCCCACTTTTGAACAACCTAACAGAACAGCCACGGAACTCTGAACAAAGACACTCAGCAAAGTTAGGGCAAAGTCTTAATTCGGTTGTAAGGGCTAGACCAGTTCCTTTGTAGAGTCACTCCAATGTGGGGGACCGAGGGGCAGTGTCCTAACTTGAGATATGCATTATCAACTCAGCCTTTTAAGTCTCCTTTAGACATCAATACACAAATTCCGCAAAAAGTGTGAGTAAAATTGGAGCATCTCAAATTAGGATTCAGCCCATAGATTCCACTATGGTGACAGACTTCAAAGAGGGGAACCTACTCAAGTCCAATGGGGACGTGGACTAAGAACTCAGCCGGGGGTTCGTTGCTTTTGGTTGAAACACTTGTTCGTGTTAGCAGCTTTTGTGAGACAACTGGCATGACGAGGCTAATCCGAAGCTAAACCCATTTCTGACAGCGCGGTAGTAAGGCCCTTGGACCTTCCAAGCGTAGACCTGCAGATAGCTTTCTGTTAAGAGACCATTCTTGGGCACCAACCAATCGAATTCCAGAGTTGAAGCACTATAAAGTAAGTACAGGGTGCTGCACTAAGAACACCGTTTCATTTCCACAGCTTAAAAGGAAGACAAATACAAATGTGGAGAAAAAAAATGAAATCAGAGGTCAGAAAACAAACCGTTTAGGGAGGATAAATAAAACACCATAAAGCTTTGTGTGCCATCAAGTGGAGACTTTGCTAACCTCCTACAATCCACTCGCATAAAAACAATCCTCAGTAAAAACAAAGATTACATTTAAAAACCCAATAACAAAATAACTTGTCCATCTATATTCTTCATACCGTTCAATGTGGGTAGAGCGATTAATAATTTAATTCCTTTGATTTCAACTGGAAGGCACATCCATAAGGCTATAAAAGGTGTAGCAAAGCATTCGGCATTGTTCTCTCCCAAACACAAGAAAATGAAAAAATTAGATGGTGCTTATTGCTGCTTTGAGAAAAGCAAAAATGATCTAACTTAAAAACGTGACATCGAGAAGAATCTGACTAATAATAACAATAATGATAATAACGTTGTGTGAATCGCGTGCACAGATGCTTTCAAGCCAGAGAGGAAATCAACTTGAGTAAATTAAATTGTTCACTTCTTTCATGTGCAGTGAACAATTTGAAAAGAGTAGCGTGGACTTCCCCAACCCTTTCACATAAGAGGCTGGACCTCCGGAGCAACACCATATCCTTTATTATTATCATTATCATTATCAGCATCATCAATGGCTACAGTTTCTACCTTCATTGGAGTGTGTATGGTTTGTCTTAGGGCTGGCACTGGGATGGGAGGTGTGGGCGGTCCCAGAGGCAGCGTGTGCGTGTGTGTGTGTGTGTGTGTGTGTGTGTGTATTTAAGAGTAGAAGGTGAGGACACTTTGGTGGTTGCCTCGCACCAGGAGGAGGGGAGGCAGGTTCTTGGACAGAGTCTCCAACCAGGACATGTAGAGAGCACTGGACACCGCTCCCTTTCTGGCCAGGGGCATGCTCCTGTAAGAAAGAAAGAAAGAAAGAAAGAAAGAAAGATAGACAGACAGACATATATAGAGAGATATGTTAAGTCGTCATACAGTGTCCTTGGCAAAAGGCACAAGAGAAAATATAACCTATTGAGAAAAATACCAGGGGGGTAGAGTCTAGGGGTTGATTTGGGATATGTCCACAAAAGCGTAGTTAAAATTCACCCTAGGTCTGCTGGACCGGCACACTCCTGTTTCATCACCGATACGGACCCACTCCCTGGGCAGTTACATAGGGACAACTTCACATAGGTTGACTGTCAATCATGTGACCAGCCGCACCATCCAGTCCCACTTGGGTTTTATTGCATTAGTCTGGGTTTCCCCTCAGACCGCACTATCCATTTCAGACCCTTTCAAATCTCAACCTCGTGCCCCGTCTGTGTATCAGCACAAACTCAATCCCACACGCATACTTCAATAAAGTGCAGTAGGACGAACAGACAGCATTGACACATCCTATTCCAAACATCCATTAATGAGACACAAAATGGAGGTCCAGTGACACTGAGGACAATGGGCTTTTCTATCGCTCTCTGGCCACCTTCATTATAGTGATATCAGTACAGTATCAGTGGTGGAGGGGAGGAGAGGAGAGCAGTGGTGTTGTGGCTAGGATAGCAGGGACTGAAGCAGAGCCAAGCCAGTGGTGGAGAGAGAATGCAAAGGCAATTAACCCACAGCCCTACTGAATGAGTGAGTGTGGAGTATGGTCTGTGTGTGGAGTATGGTCTGTGTGTGTGTGTGGAGAGAGGGAAGGATGAGTGAGGAAGTAGAGGGAGAATGACATGAGGAGGAGGAGGATAGGAGGAACATGGAGAGAGGGTAAATATAGCAGAGAGAGAAGAGGATGAAGAGTGGATTGAGAAAGAGAGGAGTGAGCAAGAGAGAGCAAAGGTGGAACAGAAGTGGCAGAGAAGTGAAAAAAATTGAGGTAAGGAGAGGCCAAAGGAGAGAAGGTGAGACCTAGGGGGAGGAGGAGGAGAGGAGGGTGACAGAGGAGAGTGTTTATGGGAGAGCTGCTGGTGTCTCAGTTTACAGGGCAGCCAGCTGATTCACTTAGCGCCCGTTATTGACAGACACATGAGGCCTCCTCCACATCTTCACACTGCCAGTGGCTGCCAGAGTCAAAGCCATAATGCCCGCACACAGGCAAGTTGCAACACACACACAAATTAATAAATGCTCTTAAATGTGCTTACATGACAATGAGGTTGGCTGTGCTCGAGTGCTCCTTCAGCAGTTCGTTCAGTCTGATCTGACGATTAGTCTGAGAAGAATTAAAACATAAATACAGGTTAAGTTGGATACACCAACATCGATGCTGCAGCCACACTTGGCTGTGGGATAGGCAGACACAGGAGCACATTCCTCCCCATGTAGCTCGTAAAAGACATTGGGCACAATACCCAACTTTTCATAGGCTTGGTTCCATTTTGGCTCCTAGCATCCTACAGCTAGCCCCTACCACTTCCATGTTCACAGATTTGAAAAGGACTGGATAGGAGTAAGTGATATGGTGATGGCTTGAGTGGTTAGACTCACCTTGGCCCTGTAGAGCTCCAGCTCGTTGTCTGTGATCCTCCAGGGCTCGCTGGCCTTCAGTGCCTCCGCCGCATCCTGCTCCATGTCGTCCTCCTTCAGCCGGTACGGCTCGATCATCTCCTCAAAGGCAGTCACACTTCAACACCACAGGGGATCAAAGGTTGTTAAACCATTACACACACTACACACACACACACACACTACCAGTCAAAAGTTTGGACACACCTACTTATTCCAGGGTTTTTCTTTATTTTTACTATTTTCTACATTGTAGAATAATAGTGAAGACATCAAAACTATGAAATAACACATATGGAATCAAGTAATAACCAAAAAAGTGTTAAACAAATCAAAATATATTTTATATTTGAGATTCTTCAAAAAGCCACCCTTTGCCTTGATGACAGCTTTGCACACTCTTGGCATTCTCTCAACCAGCTTCATGAGGTAGTCACCTGGAATGTATTTCAATTAACAGGTGTGCCTTGTTAAAAGTTAATTTTAAAATAACTTAATGCGTTTGAGCCAGTTGTGTTGTGACAAGGTAGAGGACAGAAGATAGCCCTATTTGGTAAAAGACCAAGTCCATATTACGGCAAGAACAGCTCAAATAAGCAAAAAGAAACGACAGTCCATCATTACTTTAAGACATGAAGGTCAGCCAATACGGAAAATGTCAAGAACTTTAAAAAGGTTTCTTCAAGTGCAGTCGCAAACACTATCAAGCACTATGATGAAACTGGCTCTCATGAGGACCGCCACAGGAATGGAAGAGCCAGAGTTACCTCTGCTGCAGAGGATAAGTCCATTAGAGTTACCAGCCTTAGAAATTGCAGCCCAAATAAATGCTTCACAGAGTTGAAGTAACAGACACATCTCAACATCAACTGTTCAGAGGGGGCTGTGTGAATCAGGCATTAATGGTTGAATTGCAGCAAAGATACCACTACTAAAGGACACAAATAATAAGAAGAGACCTGCTTGGGCCAAGAAACAGGAGCAATGGACATTAGACCGGTGGAAATGTGTCCTTTGGTCTGGAGTCCAAATTTGAGATTTTTTCAAACCACCGTCTCTTTGTGAGACGCGGTGTGGGTGAACGGATGATCTCTGCATGTGTAGCTCCCACCGTAAAGCATGGAGGAGTAGGTGTTATGGTGTGGGGGTGCTTTGCTGGTGACACGGTCTGTGATTTATTTAGAATTCAAGGCACACTTAACCAGCATGGCTACCACAGCATTCTACAGCAATACGCCATCCCATCTGGTTTGGGCTTAGTGGGACTATCATTTGTTTTTCAACAGAACAATGACCCAACACACCTCCAGGCTGAGTAAGGGCTATTTTACCAAGAAGGGGAGTGATGGAGTGCTGCATCAGATGACCTGGTCTCCACAATCCCCCGACCTCAACCCAATTGAGATGGCTTGGGATGAGTCGGACACCAGAGTGAAGGAAAAGCAGCCAACAAGTGCTCAGCATATGTGGGAACTCCTTCAAAATAGTTTGAAAATCATTCCATGTGAAGCTGGTTGAGAGAATGCCAACAGTGTGCAAAGCTGTCATCAAGGCAAAGGGTGGCTACTTTGAAGAATCTCAAATATATTTTTGATTTGTTTAACACTTTTTTGGTTACTACATGATTCCATATGTGATATTTCATAGTTTTGATGTCTTCACTATTATTCTACAATGTAGAAAATAGTAAAAATAAAGAAAAACCCTGGAAGGAGTAAGTGTGTCCAAACTTTTGACTGGTACTAATTTTATACTAAACATACATATATCATTTACACACATATATATATATACACATATATCATTTACACACACACACACACACACACACACACACACACACACACACACACACACACACACACACACACACACACACACACACACACACACACACACACACACACACACACACACACACACACACACACACACACACACACACACACACACACATATATATATACATATATATACACACACACACATTTACATTTTAGGCATTTAGCAGACGCTCTTATCCAGAGCGACTTACAGTTAGTGAGTGCATACATTTTTCATACTGGCCCCCCGTGGGAATCGAAACCACAACCCTGGCGTTGCAAGCACCATGCTCTACCAACTGAGCTACATACAGTGAGGGAAAAGAGTATTTGATCCCCTGCTGATTTTGTATGTTTGCCCACTGACAAAGAAATGATCAGTCTATAATTGTAATGGTAGGTTTATTTGAACAGTGAGAGACAGAATAACAACAACAAAAATCCAGAAAAACGCATGTCAAAAATGTTATAAATTGATTTGCACTTAATGAAATAAGTATTTGACCCCCTCTCAATCAGAAAGATTTCTGGCTCCCAGGTGTCTTTTATACAGGTAACGAGCTGAGATTAGGAGCACACTCTTAAAGGGAGTGCTCCTAATCTCAGCTTGTTACCTGTATAAAAGACACCTGTCCACAGAAGCAATCAATCAATCAGATTCCAAACTCTCCACCATGGCCAAGACCAAAGAGCTCTCCAAGGATGTCAGGGACAAGATTGTAGACCTACACAAGGCTGGAATGGGCTACAAGACCATCGCCAAACAGCTTGGTGAGAAGGTGACAACAGTTGGTGCGATTATTCGCAAATGGAAGAAACACAAAATAACTGTCAATCTCCCTCGGCCTGGGGCTCCATGCAAGATCTTACCTCGTGGAGTTGCAATGATCATGAGAACGGTGAGGAATCAGCCCAGAACTACACGGGAGGATCTTGTTAATGATCTCAAGGCAGCTGGGACCATAGTCACCAAGAAAACAATTGGTAACACACTACGCCGTGAAGGACTGAAATCCTGCAGCGCCCGCAAGGTCCCCCTGCTCAAGAAAGCACATATACAGGGGCGTCTGAAAGTTTGCCAATTAACATCTGAATGAATCAGAGGAGAACTGGTTGAAAGTGTTGTGGTCAGATGAGACCAAAATAGAGCTCTTTGGCATCAACTCAACTCGCCGTGTTTGGAGGAGGAAGAATGCTGCCTATGACCCCAAGAACACCATCCCCACCGTCAAACATGGAGGTGTAAACATTATGCTTTGGGGGTGTTTTTCTGCTATGGGGACAGGACAACTTCACCGCATCAAAAGGACCATGTACCATCAAATCTTGGGTGAGAACCTCCTTCCCTCAGCCAGGGCATTGAAAATGGTCGTGGATGGGTATTCCAGCATGACAATGACCCAAAACACATGGCTAAGGCAACAAAGGAGTGGCTCAAGAAGAAGCACATTAAGGTCCTGGAGTGGCCTAGCCAGTCTCCAGACCTTAATCCCATAGAAAATCTGTGGAGGAAGCTGAAGGTTCGAGTTGCCAAACGTCAGCCTCGAAACCTTAATGACTTGGAGAAGATCTGCAAAGAAGAGTGGGACAAAATCCCTCCTGAGATGTGTGCAAACCTGGTGGCCAACTACAAGAAACGTCTGACCTCTGATTGCCAACAAGGGTTTTGCCACCAAGTACTAAGTAATGTTTTGCAGAGGGGTCAAATACTTATTTCCCTCATTAAAATGCAAATCAATTTATAAAATGTTTGACATGCGTTTTTCTGAATTTTGTTGTTGTTATTCTGTCTCTCACTGTTCATATAAACCTACTATTAAAATTATAGACTGCTCATGTCTTTGTCAGTGGGCAAACGTACAAAATCAGCAGGGGATCAAATACTTTTTTCCTTCACTGTACATACACACATACATATATACAGTTGAAGTCGGAAGTTTACATACACCTTAGCAAAATACATTTAAACTCAGTTTTTCACAATTCCTGACATTTAATCATAGTAAATATTCCCTGTCTTAGGTCAGTTAGGATCACCACTTTATTTTAAGAATGTGAAATGTCAGAATAATAGTAGAGAGAATTATTTATTTCAGCTTTTATTTCTTTCGTCACATTCCCAGTGTGTCAGAAGTTTACATACACTCAATTAGTATTTGGTAGCATTGCCTTTAAATTGTTTAACTTGGGTCAAACGTTTCGGGAAGCCTTCCACAAATTTCCCACAATAAGTTGGGTGAATTGTGGCCCATTCCTCCTGACAGAGCTGGTGTAACTGAGTCAGGTTTGTAGGACTCCTTCCTCGCATACACTTTTTCAGTTCTGCCCACAAACTTTCTATAAGATTGAGGTCAGGGCTTAGTGATGGCCACTTCAATACCTTTACTTTGTTGTCCTTAAGCCATTTTGCCACAACTTTGGAAGTATGCTTGGGGTCATTGTCCATTTGGAAGACCCATTTGCGACCAAGCTTTAACTTCCTGACTGATGTCTTGAGATGTTGCTTCAATATATCCACATAATCTTCCTTCCTCATGATGCCATCTATTTTGTGAAGTGCACCAGTCCCTCTTGCAGCAAAGCACCCCCACAGCATGATGCTGTCACCCGTGGTGTTCTTCGGCTTGAAAGACCCCCATTTTTCCTCCAAACAAAACGATGGTCATTATGGCCAAACAGTTCTATTTTTGTTTCATCAGACCAGAGGACATTTCTCCAAAAAGTACGATCTTTGTCCCCATGTGCAGTTGCAAACCGTAGTCTGGCTTTTTTATGGCTGTTTTGGAGCAGTGTCTTCTTCCTTGCTGAGCGGCCTTTTGGGTTATGCCGATATAGGACTCGTTTTACTGTGGATATAGATACTTTTGTACCTGTTTCACAAGGTCCTTTGCTGTTGTTCTGGGATTGATTTGCACTTTTCGCACCAAAGTACATTCACCTCTAGGAGACAGAACACGTCTCCTTCCTGAGCGATATGACTGCTGCGTGGTCCCATGATGTTTATACTTGCGTACTATTGTTTGTACAGATGAATGTGGTACCTTCAGGCGTTTGGAAATTGCTCCCAAGGATGAACCAGACTTGTGGAGGTCTACAATTTTTTTTCTGAGGTCTTGGCTGATTTCTTTAGATTTTCCAATGATGTCAAGCAAAGAGGCACTGAGTTTGAAGGTAGGTCTTGAAATACATCCAAAAGGTACACCTCCAATTGACTCAAATAATGTCAATTAGCCTATCAGAAGCTTCTAAAGCCATGACATAATTTTCTGGAACGGGTGACAGCATTATATATATATATATATATATATATATAGATAGCAGTAATACGTTTCATTCAAAATATGTTTCAATTCAAATGACCGCTACTGTATGTTACTATGCACAATAATCTGTTTTCAACTTGTGGAAAACATTGTGGCCTGCAGTTTACATTAGCAATCAGCAATACGCCACTTGAGTGTCCAAAAGGGAATTATCCTATTATTCATATTTGAGAATGTCAATAAAAGGTTTCCTGTAAGTATTTAAGTGCTTGCAGACTTGTTGACTCCCAGCTCAAACAACGCAGTCTGCTTAGTTACTTCACTTTTGTCTTTTTATATCAATTTCAATGAAGAACTCATTTTTCAAATGAAAATAGACATTTAAAAAAATCTGACATCTGTCAAAAGGGAGAATCAATCATGAGATAAAAACAACGTACTTCTCTTTTTTGGGCTTGGTGTTGATGTCTCCCAGTACATTGATGTCGGAGAAGTCTATCCTGAACTTGCTGAGCAGTGTGGCCATCCTGAGGAGGAACAACAAATGCCTTATCAAACACTGAAAAGCCACTTACATCCAGAAGCTTTAGAGAGACTGCAAACACAAGCCACGGAGGGCATGAAGAAGCCATTTTGAAAGGGAAATGTCATAGCAAACAGGTGTGAGCTGAAGTTAATATTTTGTAGGGGGAAAGCCGTTGTGGCTGTTGAGAGGCTTTCTCTTCATGACAGTCATTTCCCTAGGCTTTTTTCTTCAAAGATTGGGATAACGTCTATTCAAAAATCTTAAGCGTTGGCACACGACGACTACAAACATGGAATGTCTGCGTGAGAACTGCGACTTTTATGTCAAAGGACTTTTATATCAAAGGGATACCGGAATCCTCAATGACATGCAGAGAGTTTGGATGGGATATTATTTCAATAATGAAGTCCAAGTATTGAACGAATGAAGTTCAAGAAAGATGGCTAGCCAGTACTGCAACTCTGTGTTCAATTAGCACGGAAATGTCTGGTCCTGGTTTAATGAAATGTCTGGTCCTGGTTTTCAAGCAATAAACACACAAACATATGGCTTGTGGCACACGCTCGCTCTCACACGCAGATAAAAGGCTTGGGTTGCCAGGAAGGTGGTCATTTCTGCCAACAACGGGAGGCAGCTTTGAGGGACAGGACATTTTGGACAATAATACTGCTGCCATGTGGGTTTGTAATACGCCCAACACAGACAGACAGAGAGAAAAAGAGAAAGACAGAGACCCTAACCTGCTTATGTGAAGCAAATGCCACAGACGACGATAAAGCATTTATTTAAAACTACATGCAGATGTAATGTGGTGATGCAACAACGTGGGTTTAATCCCGTATGGGCTGTACCCAGGCCAGTCAGTGACTAATCAGTATTTTTGGAAGGTGATCCCTGGCACCAGTAACACTGATATTATTTAACAGTTTTAGAGTGAGTTCGCCAGACAGACTTACATCTAGGCCATAAGAGAATAGAAAAATGAAGAATTAAATGTGTATTCCTCAGAATTTAACCTAAAGGTTCTTTGTGTGTTTTGTGGTCATTGCATTTCTGTATCAGCTTATGTCAGCAATGTAGTCAGAATTTGGAATGTAAGGAATGTCAAATGCATCATTCAGTTATTTCAAGTATTGTCAACACATTCGCATAGGTAGTATAGATCTACAGCAAATAGAAGGGCTCTCCACTCACGCTCTGCGGTCGTGGTCGATCCTGTTTATCTTGCCTCCGATGAAGACGCGGATCTTGCAGTCATTCCACTTCTTCTTGTTGGTGAGCAGGTAGGGGATGAGCAGGGTAAGGCCTGGCAGAGTCAAGATACAGTCAGTCACTCACCATCTGTTTGTGGGGCCATGCTGTATTTTGTTCTTGCTGTGCAGAGTTGGGATATCTCTAGAGTCTAAGGTCTAGGTTTCTAAAGGGTCCTCAAAGCTGCAATGCCCATTTCTGTCCCCATTTCTCATCCAAGTTACTCTCCTTCCATAATGCTCACCGGTGACATCACAACCAGTAGCAGAAGTATAGTCTCAACTAATTGTTTAACAACAAAACCGACGCGTGCGTAACTATGGGGCAAAACAGACAGGGTTGGCTTAGATGGTTGACAACATGTAAACTATATTTAGTCTCCTATGTTTATTGAAAACATATAATTTACATTTGCACAGTGAGCACTTGTTGTCTCTAAAATAGATTGTTACAATTGTTGGTTAGCTAGCTAGCGAATTTGAGCCATAATAGCATTGACATGAAATCAGTCAAAAAACCTCAAAACAAGACATGGTATTAAGAACAAGATGAAACTAGCTGAAACAAGCCACTTACATTTCACTACATGGCAGTTTTTTGTCATTGTTGCTAGCCATTTTAGCAGACGCTCTTATCCAGAGCGACTTACAGTTAGTGAGTGCATACATTTTTCATACTGAATCACAACAACTCACTGACTTCTGCCCCATTTAAGCATGCGCATTGTTTCTGTGATGTTGTCAGCTAACCCATCTATAGCCTTAAGTGTTTCCCTGCGTCTCAATTATCTACTCTTTCTCCTGAAGTGCACATTCTTCCCAACGCATTTAAAAGCATTGGGTTAGACAAGTGTTTCTCAATCCTGGTCCTGGGGACCCAAAGGGGTGCACATTTTAATTCTTGCCTTAGCACTACTTACCTGATTGAAATCATAAAAAATTATGATGAGTTGATCATTTGAATCAGCTGTGTAGTACTAGGGCAAAATAAAAAAATGTGCACCCCTGCACACCGGGACCAGGATTGAGAAACACTGGGTTAGACGGTTGCCACCATATTTCTATACAAATCATTATCTCTTAAAGGGGAGGGCAGGGAGTGTTTGTCAACTTAAAACTGTGGTATCGAAGCTGCTCTGTAACAGAAACCACTAGGCAGTAAGTAACCACATAGCACCCCCTGGTGGTCTGGAGGACCAGACTGAACTCACCGCCGTCGTCAAAGAGCCACCACACATCCACGGTGCCTTTGCCTTGTTTCCTCTTGAACAGCTGACTGGCGTCCAGCAGCCTCTGGTCAGCCACGTTCAACGTCTGGGGTCTTTTCTCTGTGTGGCCCAAAAATTGCTATGTCAGACACTAAGATCAAGACAGGGCAGGAAGCTGTATCCTCACTAAGGGAGATGACTTAGGTAGGAATTCCTCTCTGCGTGTGACTCAGACTGGGCCCGCATTCATAAAGTGTCTAAGATCAGTTTTGTCTTTCAGATCATAATGAAATCAGATTATACGGACAAGGGGGACCTGATCCTAGATCAGCACTGTCTCCTAGTTTTTATATATTTCTTTAGCCCTGGTCCCAGATATGTTTGTGCCAACTCCTATGGTCATTAGCAAGACCCGGGATCAGGCTGTGTGTGACAGAAATCAAAGGAAGTGGGGATCTTATGTAGCTTTTATCTAACAGTCACAGAACAATGGAAACCTTCTCTGAAGTGGGCTCAGTGGAATGTAAACGGTGTGCAGTCAGTGAGTGTCTATTGTAACATTCCCTTCTCTGCTCTGTCTGTCAGGGACTTGGATAAGTAGACAGTGGTTATAAAACAGCTGTACCTGAAAAAGCACATGACACAGACAGAGACAGAGAAAGAGGGGTAGAAATAAGTAGAAGGGGGGAGAGGAGGAGAGAAAAGCAGACAAACCCCAAGAGAAACAGACATGCCTGCCAGAAAGGAAAGGAGAGAGACAGTGACAAAGTACTGAAGACAGTGTCATCTCCGCAGAAAGAGAAGAAACAGGAAGTCCAGGAAAGAAACGATTTAGAGAAAATACGTCAGAGCAGACACACACACGACGGCGCTTCAGAGACTGCGCTAGAGCTACAGGAAGCCGGAGTGAGTTAGGAGCGGAAAGACAACAGCAGGAAATAAACACAGGTTATTCCTAGAGCTGCTACCCGTAACCCTAACCCAGAGCCAGGCAGGAAAGACTAACCCTACCCCTAGATGACAGAGGAAGACTAACCCTACCGCTAGACGACAGAGGAAGATGGTAAAAAAAAGGGTGACGGAGGGTGTGCATGAGAGTGAGAGCAATAGAAACAGAAAGGAAAACCAAACTCAACCAGGTTCCACGGTTTTTCGAAAGCGCATGACTGCGAGTGAGAGCAAGAGAAAGAGAGAATTACAATAAGGCAATATGACAGAGAAAGACAATGTGTGAGGAAAGGGAAAGGAGATACCTAGTCAGTTGCACAACTGAATGCATTGAACTGAAATGTGTCTTCCGCATTTAAATCCAACCCCTCTGAATCAGAGAGCGAGTACATGTGAGAGTGAGTGAGAGTAATTGAGAGAAAAGTAAAGCAACTCAATAAGGTGGACTGCCTGCCTTTTTTCAACAGCGGCTTCGTTGCGGCTTTGCGTTCATCATCGTCATCTGGATCATGTAAAAAATAAAAATGGAGGGAGAGAATGAGAAGAAAAAAAAGAGAGAGAGAGCGAGAGAGAGAGAGAGAGCGAGAGAGAGAGCGAGAGAGAGAGAGAGCGAGAGAGAGAGAGAGAGAGAGAGAGAGAGAGAGAGCGAGAGAGAGAGAGCAAGAGAGAGAGAGAACGGAGGGGTTAATGTTTTTGCTGCTGTCGCCATGATGGGAAACACATGCATCAACAGCCCCGATACAATGAGGGGACTTTTCTGGGGGTGGGGAGTGGGTGTGTTGGGGGCCGCTACGTCAGTTATCCCTGCGCCAAACAATATGGAATGGGCTCCAATGGAAAAGGCATCAGTGGTAACACACACACACACACACACACACACACACACTGTTGGGGTCTCTCAGGGAAGGAACTTCCAACACCGGCAATGGTTAGAAATCTTGGAGTCAGAAAACTCCACTACTGGCTTAGTAGTGGACGAGTACTTTTGGGAGTTAAGACATTGGTTTAGATGTTTGACTCCTTTAAAAGCTACTGGAATTGTCTTAGGACAGATTAGTGTAACCAGTGTTTCAAGCCAGGACCCACTCAAATGCTGTGACTTCAACCATTTGAGAAACACTGCTTCAAGACAACTTAACAGTTTAAATAACATACTAAATAACTAGGTCTAAATCACTCTCTGAAGTATTTTGGGGAGGTTCTCTGGTAATGTCAGAAGTGTGAAAGTAATGTACGCAAGTAATCTGGATGTCAGGAACGTTCTGAGGAAATAATTAAGGTTCCGGCATTAGAATTGCTTACTGCTAAGCCGATTACAGACGTGACATTAATCTTCAATTAGCTGTTTTCGTCACTTGGCACTAGGAGTTCACTATGTAGTACAAACATGTACTGTAGTTTTAGTACAGTCAACCGGCAAACACACAAACACAGTGCACACACACACACCCTCTCTCTCCATCAAACAAGTGCACACTGAAGTATTCACTCACATCAGGGTAACAACAGAAAAGCCACACACACACACAGCTTCAGATGCTCTTCATTATTGACTGTGGGAGTGAATTGAGTGAATCGTGAGAAATGTCACTTCCTCAGTGTGACCACACAGGGTCAGAGACATGAGATCCCGTATGGGAGGAAGAAAATGGAACGTGACGCGTGGAGTAAATAGAATTCAACTGAAGTTCCCAGCCTGTCCATGCTGCACTGTGGGAACAGTTTCCCTGTTTGTTTGGTCATAGTTTAAGGAGGAGGCAAACACACACACTTCAGTGAAGCCATGTGTGTGTGTGTATTTGGGTTTGTGTGTGTGCATATGCGTCGTAAGTGCATGAGATGTTTGTGTGCATGTGTGTGCGAGCACGTACGTGTGTGTAAACAAACAAGGACAGACACACACACTGTAGTGAAGCCATCTGTGGGCTGTGGACTAACAAACTGGGCCCAGTGGGAAGGCTGGGGGTCACGGGGTCAGAGGCCACTTCCTCTCTGAGTAGTGCTGCTTACAGGGCCGCCCACTCAGTGTAGCCTAGTGACTGGCTGGCTGGAGAGACTTAAGGGAGGCCTTTGCGAGATCTAGAGGGGATCGGGAGTGTGGCGCTAAACCGCTAAAATTCTTACATCCTGACCCATAAAGCCCTTCCTCTTTCTCAAGCGCGTTCACATTGTGATTTCACAACAAGAAACGTAGTTCACTTTGGCACAGTATCAGACCATTGAATGTCTTCACAAACGCCAAAGTTTCCACATGTTGACGTGAAGTTATGGAAAATTAGGTTGTGTAAGAGGGGTGAACCAACCTTACTGCTCTTGAAGAGATAGTGTTTTCTTCCTGTCCAGCTCTCAGGACCTCCATTAGCTGAAGCAGGTATGTGCACAAAACCACCGGTGTAGAATCTAAGTAAAAAGGCACTCAACATGTGTACCTGTTTATGTGGGTTACTTTAGAATGACGCCTGTAATGGGACATTATATGATGAATTACTTTCCTGTATTTGAGCCTATAATTATCTGTTGTAACTAACTACCTTTGGACCTGCTTAACTGCCAGTATCAAATGTCTGCCAGTGTTGAGCCGAGGACACACTGACAATGTATTTGTGAAACTGTGTGATTCTGTAGCAGCTGATGTTGTGACTTCCTACAAGCCTCTCGGGCTGGTGTTTACAGAACCGTTGGTGCTGTGTGATAAATTTATAAGGGCCTTCTCAGAAGACCCGTTAAGACATTTTCTCGGCTTCTGATCTGGAGGGGTCTCCCTGTTGCAACTTGTAATAAACCGAATCGATTTTTGATTCGCATTATCAACGACTGCTCTCATTTTGGTTCACCTGGAAATTCCCATTACAACTCCTGACCTTTCTGGATGGCTGGGCTGTTCTGGACGCTGGTGGCTTTGGACGAGGGCTTGGACGAATCTCCGTCAGAGTCCTTCATGTCGATGGACACCACCACATCCTTCATCCCCGATGTCTTCTCCTGCGACGACAGCAGGTCATCTGCGAAACAAAGTTAAACTATTAGCCAACTAAAACTGACGTTAACAGAACATCCTGTTAACATTTAAAACAAATGACCTGCAAAGTAGCCCAGGCTTTTTGAGGCCACAATAGTCCATTTTGTGTCCACTAAACACAGAAGTGGCCAGTAACTGCTAAAATGTAGGTAATAATCTTGATGAGGTTATGAAATGTAGGTAATTATCTTGATGGGGTTATTTGATGGGTGAAAGGCAAAGTGTTTGAAAACGGCCGGCAAGCCATTTGGGCCAATTAAGGTGAATTTGGGTGGACTTTTGGCCGCATAACAAGCCAGGTCAAGAAGACTGGACTGAGGAAGAATAATTCAACTGAAAAGTACACAGTTAGGAACTGCTCGGTAATATGATACAGCCTACTAAAAAATGGGTTTCAAATCCAGGGGATAGAAAAACGTCAACGTTTATGTGAAGCTGAATAAGAAGGGAGTGACAGCGTGAGAACAAGTCAAAGCGATGAACATCTAGAATCTGCAGTTGGACTGTTTGGAAAGTAAATGTACTAAAACATCCCTTTGAGTTACTTGTTTAATTAAATCTCTCTCCAGCTGGGGAGAGCCACACTGAGTTTAAGAATCACACCTCATAATTGGTTGCTTTCGATTCCCTGTGTAGTTGCAAATTGGTTGCGCAGAACATCTTGACATGACGCAGCAAAGCACTGGTGCTAAATTCATTTTCTCAATGATAGAAGAACGTTTTCTGAGGAAACCAATATGAGACTGATGAGATTAGTTGTTTGGCAAGGGAGTGTTTTAGCGTGTGTGTGTGGGTGGGTAAGAGTATCATGTCATTTGGTACGAAAGTGTTGCAGTGTGTGTGTGTGTGTACCTTGTTCTGAGATGTGGGACACATCCAGACCCTCCTTCAGTCTGAGCACCACGGCACCATACTGATAGTCAAAAGCATCACTGAAAGTCAAACAGAAACACGCTCTGTTGGCATTTCACAGGAAGCCGCTTGACACAGAGCTGGGCCTGGCTCTGTGTTTAAGTGTACAACACGCTACATTAAACGTGTACTTTTCCACTTGGACAAAACACGTACACACACTAACCCGGCTAACGCAAACAAACAAGCTTAGGACTCAGGCCACAATGAATGGTTTCGAAGGACAAAGCTAAATGCCTTACTGGTAGAGGTGGGAACTTCATGATATTGTGAAAACTGGCAGCCAGACTTCACCCATTTAATAATACTTTGATGTCTATAGGTGAAGCTAGCATGAATTGAAAACTAAAGAGCACATTCCTATAAGTATTAGCGTAGCTTTTAATATGCTGTGGCTGAACCATCTCTAACCTTCCAATCTAATACAATAATCTCCACACTTTACACCAGGAACTGATTCAACCTAAATCCATTGGTTATAATACCACGTGACTCTGATTAAGTTGATAGAGGTTTTCAGAAATCCAAGTTGTGTGTATTCTACTCCATATAAACTACTTTGGGTTGTGTGTCAAAGCTTGTTATCTTCACAAACCATCACATGTTCATGTGCTTTAAAACAAATGACTGTTCTAATCAGGTGTCTTTGTGACAGCCTTTTGACAAGGTGGCTTGCGAGGCCCCCGCTGACTCACTGGATCATCTGGATGTAGGTCTCAACGTTCATCATGTCTCCGTATTTCCAGTCGTTCTTGAAGCCAATCACCAGAGTGTTGGGCCTCAGACGACCTAGTCCAGCAGCCTTGAGAAAACACAGGTCAGAACAACCTAAAGAAACCACTAAATAAATCACGGTCAGGAGTTACAACCTCCTAGCTCAATTTCACATGCTGCTGCATCTCCCAAAAACCAGGTCACGCAATCGCTTTCAAGCATAAAGGTCTGGTTGGCAGGCGATCATATAAAAGAGCACCATAGGCGTCAGGGTCAATTCAATCTCCATCCATGGCTATTTTTTTAATTCTAGTTTTCAGTGTCAACTGATAATTCCATGGAGTTGAACTGGAGTTGACGCCAATGCCACACTACCGTGGGTTTCAATATATTTTCATGCACTTTGACTGAATGTGCTTGAACTTTAGGATAAATAATTACAACTTTGTATTACGGTCAAAGGCTTGTGTTTCAAGGGCAACCAGAGTAGGGTGGCAGGTGGCCTAGCGGTTAGAGCGTTGGTCCAGTAACCAAAAGGTTGCCAGTTTGAATCCCCGAACCGACAAGGTGTAAAATCTGTCATTCTGCCCTTGAGCAAGGTTGTTAACCCCCCACACCTCTCAGTTTCAACGCGTGTGAAATTGATGAGACAAAATACCTTTAATTCAAATAGAACAAAAATGACTTCACATTTTATGTACTTTAAAGAAATTACAGCACACTTCACTCCTATGGCTTGGACCGCTGCCACTAATTGTAACGTTTGTCTGTTCTCACCTGTAGCAGATACTGGGTGCCCTCTCGAATGTCCTCGGCGAACACGGGGGTGTAGAATGCCTTGGTCTCGTTCTTCATCAGCCAGCGCTGATAACGTGTCTGGTCGTTGGACAGCTCTTTGAAGTTGGGCCTTCTGGAGCCCTGTGGACACAACACACATAGAAAAGAATAGAGTTATGCTAAAGGCTAAGTGTAGCATTTAGCAACTCATGAACCAAACCGAAGTAGTTCCACCTTGCAGTCAAAATCACAGGTGGTGGATATATTTACAGTACCAATTATCGTTAGAGAAGGCTCTCAAGTTGCCCTGAAAAAAGCCCCAATTTAACCAACACCCATCTATTTTCTGTGACTACCTGAACCTACCATTTGGTTTTGAAGTATTGAAACCAAACCATATGGATTTGAATTAAAAGTATTTTAATAAATATGAAAAGTTGAATGTAAGAAGCGCTGATCATTTCAAATAGGCTACATGTCGTATTAAACAGCATATAAACACTAAATAGGTCAGGACCCAGAGAGGTAGCCTAAGAAGGACCCAAAATTAATTATTTATGCTATATTATGGTGGTCCTCTGTAGCTCAGCTGGTAGAGCACGGCGCTTGTAACGCCAAGGTAGTGGGTTCGATCCCCGGGACCACCCATACACAAAAATGTATGCACGCATGACTAAGTCGCTTTGGATAAAAGTGTCTGCTAAATGGCATATTATATTATTATTATTATTATTATTTCAAGGCTATAGCCTACAAAGAAATACATTGTGAAGCATTTGCTAGTGTGACACAATAGGCTGGTAGGGACATAAAGGGCTCAGCATTTAGTTGTATTAAATCATTATAGTCTAGAAATTGCGCATATAGGCTGTGACTTACTTAGGATTAAATACAAATTAATTGAAAAACACCTTATTAGATCATTTTAAAAACATGAGTTTGGCCAGAGTCTGTGGCCTCAGGCTCATGCGATGGTGCCTGGAGAGCAGGCCAGCACCTGAGAACATCCTCTCCCTGCTTTCCGGGCTACTGGAGATAGTGAAAATACCTGTTTGGCCACTCTTCCCAGGCTGGGCAGAGATGCAGTTCTCTTTTTTTTCTCTATAGGTAGGCCTAAAAGGTTCAAAACGGAAAGGTCCTTTAAACTGGGAATATGCCAGGCCTATTGAACCAAAATCAATTGGCCTATTGTATAGATAGATCCAAAATTAACTAAACTTTTAAGAGATCTGATTTTTAGTTTATAAATACTTTGCTACAATGACACTTAGCTAGCTAGCTACCCACCGCATTCCTTTCTGTTAGCATCTGCACCTTGTACACATCATGCTTTTGGGATACGTGTCTTTTCAGATTCCACAATGATTTTTTAGTTGTGGACACTACATCACCACATTCCCTCTCTTGCTCTTGGTTGTCCTCATCTTTGTAAGTCTCCTTGATTTTGCACCTGTGTGTTTTATCAGTTTTATGAACATATTTAGCGAACTCCATGACAGTAGCTAAAGCAAGGGGCTATAGCAGCACAAGTAGACTACAAATGCATGCTGGGCCAGGCATGCCCTGAGCTCGTGAAGTGGGTGCTACTGGAGCGAAATTGGAGAGGCCAATAAGGTCGACGCTCCAGCCTTTGGGAATCTCGCCGCGTGCTCCAGTCAAATTGGGCACGCTCTGCTCCTTGCTCCAGCTGCGCTCCAGCTTCGCTCACATACTCTGGTGGAGGCCTCAGACTTTGCTGCTAATGACAGTAGAGCGTCTGTAAAGTGCCTTTTTACATTGTGGGCACAGCGCAGGGACGATTACATCAGCCCAGTCATCACACCGTCTTAATGGAGCAGTCATTTTATTGCTCCCAGATGAGGGATTTAGATGGGAAAAAGTAGCTAAAAGTCGTTTAAAAAAAGCTAAATGGAAGCAATGACTCACTCAACAGGAAATGTGGATTTGAAAAGTAAACAGGGGATTAATAAGAGCAACACAACAAGCAGGGTCCAGAACAACATAGGATTTCCCGTAAATCAGTTCTAATGGTTTTCAATGGAGTTAATACAGAACTTAGTTACCTGTAGTCAACAAGAAGTAATGATGACATTGCATTGAGATTGAGCTAGAGATGAACAATGGACCCTATAAGACAAGTGAAAAACTCTGAAATGGAGCCCTCACTGTGCCATGTTACGGTTATGGGATGGAGACAAAATGGCCTCCGGGTGGGTGACGTCTCTGATTACTCACCGTGCGAACATGGCCGCAGATCATCAGGCCCACGTTCTTGGTGAAAGCGTGGACCAGGTGGAGCAGAGCCGGACGGGAGTTGGGGTAGCCCGTCATCACCAAGCACTGAGGTCTGTTATAAAATAAGATCAAAACAGAGTTAGCAATTAGCTAGCATCCATGCTAACAGTAAGTGGCGCACAAATGAACACAAGGACCTAACCTAGGAGTGGTCAATCCTCCTTCTGGAGGGCAACTGGCTTTTGGTTCCAAGCCTTTGGTCCAACACTTCTGATTCTACAAGTTTTGACGAGCAGCGGATCAGGCATGCTAGAGCAGAGCTGAGACAAAAGCATGCACCCAGTAGCTCTCCAGGAGGGTTGAACAATGGCCACCGCTGGCTTAACCCTTTTGACTTTTTTTTTGCTAGGTCACATGCACACAATACTTAATGCTTCATCTCACTCAGTGTCTTCTCATGACCTTGAGAGAAGAAGTCTTCATATTCTCGGTGAGGAATGAAAACAGACTTTGAGAGCACCAGAGTAGCGCACATCAAAGCAAATATGTTAAACACATGGGATTAGGGGAGCCGGGAGGGGGAGAAAAGGCAAGGAATAACATGTTTGAATGTTTGAATTCTGAAGACAATGTCAGACGCTCCCCAATCCCTCGCCACCGGCTTATTGCCATGGGAATGCTTCCAGGACAAACTGTGCAGTCCGAACAGCATCTGTAGCGACTCGTACAGTCCATGTGAGAGAGATTGAACAATAGAGCACAAGGTTGTTGTGTTGTGGCTCGGACGACGTCCACACAACGGTTTAATCGTAATCCTAAAATTCATCTGGTTTAGCTCCGAGGGTGATCTACGGAAGCACTTTTCCTATATCAGTGTTTCTGAACGAGACCCACCGGGTCTGCTTGATTAAATGCCAGGTAAGCATCAATTAAATATTGCATCACTAGAATGCTAGTACTAAAGCGTCACATATCTAGTTAGCTAGATAAAAAGGCTCAATTAACTTGGAATCATTCTAACAGAGTCCACTGCACACAGTAGACCATAGTTGAAAAACATAGTTCTATACAGATACCCTAACCCCACGCTCTCTACCGTGGCTAGATAATGACAGATGCTAGATTTCAGAGAATAGACGGTTTAGTCTAGCTCCTTTGTCTGAAAATAGATGGTTTAGTTTGTCTCCTTTGTCCTTAGGCGAGGGAGTGTGAAGGATGCCAATCATCTGCCATTGTTGTCCCAGGTGTGCAGTTACACAACCCTCTCCAGGGGGGTGTGTCGTGCCGAGACCAAGAGAGAGCTCTGACTGCAGCCTGACTCGACAAACAGCAGTTTCCTCCCCCGCTGCTGCAGCCCTACCTGATCTGATCTGTACGTCTCAGTGAGCATGCGTTAGGGACGACTCGCCGAGCAGCATCGAACGGTAATTAACTGAAGGAGTCGTCGTTAATCAAATTTGCCAATCAGATACTTTTAGAACTAACAGGGCAACAGCCTTCATGACAATGTGAATGATGGAATTTTCCTGAATACGATACATTTTACCCAGTAAATATTTAACAAGTAGCATAATGAAACAAAACACCAGGACGGACGCTGGTGGTGAAAATGAGGTGGTTTAGTGACTAAAGAATCTAGCCTTTCTACGGGCAAGCGCATTTTGAAAACGAGACATACCTTTCCTTTGGTCTTAGAAGTGAAAGCGTGTGTATACGGGAGTATGTGTTAAAGTGTGTTCTGTACAGTACCTGAAGTTCTTGATGTGGTCCTCAACACTGCTGAGGTGCAGACTGTGGGTCAGGGCCTGGTGGTATGTCAGAGCCTGGGTGGAGGAGCCCCAGTTCACATCTGGAAGACAGGACAAACAGTCACATTCTGGAAGACAGGACCCTGTATGTGTGGCCATTAAGACGGTCAGGCAGTGTGGGAGTCAGTAGGGATGCTGTGTATGTAGAGCTGTGACTCACCGTGTGAGAGTGTGTGTGTAAATCTGTGAGGGCGAGCATGTGTGTATTAGAGATGCGAGTCAAACTGAGTGTGTGAAGCCATGTGTGTATTTGTGGGTTCATACAAAGCCTCTCTGTAGATGTCTATATTAGGGTCTGGTGCTCCACTGGGGTCTCCAGCGTGGGTCAGGTGTGTTTACCCAGAGCCAGCAGTCCCATATGGGGACTTCCTATCATCTGGGGACCCAGTCGGCCATCTGACCCCTGTGGGGACCTCCACAGCCAGGCCAGAGAGGCTGAGCACCAACACAGGCGAGGACAAGAAACAGCATGTAGCTGGTCCCTGAACTGCTGCACCCTCCCAGCGCTAGACATTTCAAAGGCCCCCATTTAATGTCACACTGCCTTGCGTGGGCGGGTAGCTTAAGAAAAGTTAACAGAACGAGCCAGCCCTTTGGCAAATCACCATAGAAACACAGGAGGGGAAGTTTCTTCATGTCCTAGGTAATGTCATAGAAGGAACAAAAATATATTTAGAACTCCATTTGCTAATGAACAGAAAAATCACAAAGTTGCCCCGAATATTTTTGTGAAACATATTTTCTACCCTGCAAATAGAGCCATGAGCCACTCTTAATGCAGTATCATATTGTGAATAGCTAGTTCATTTCGGTTGAATTCAGACAGACAGTTTCCACAACCCTGCGCTTTGCTATAAATACATTTAAACTGTTGGGCTGCACTGCAGCAGAGGGTGCGTAACAAAAACCTAATTGTGATGCAAATGCTTACCACTTCACCAAAATACATGTGTGCATCAGCAATAAAAAAAGAGCTTGAAATATCAATAGTGGGACCCGATTCACATTCTGTGTTCAAAGCATTTTTGGGCGTCAGGGGACTGACTTCCAGAGAACTATGCTAATGTGGCTCTATCATAGAGGTTGACATTTCAGTGGAATCAAAAGAACTAGGCAATTATTTACGTTGACCTTAAATATGAGCTTTTTTGGGAAATTTATTTTTTGTGTGTAGGCTAATTCATGAAAGATTATGCTAATATTTGTAAAGTAAAATAACCGATATCCACGTCAACAATAATCCACGTCAAGTTTCACAATGAGCACCTATCTTGGCAAAATAACACTAGTCGATGTTGAGGCAATCCAAGAAGGCCGACTTGGCCTGGTGCCGAGTCACTCACCGGGCTTCTTGTAGCTCACGTAGATGTAGAGGCCCATGACAATGACGTTGGTCATCAGGGCTGCCCACCAGTTGATGACGAACATGACCACGCAGCACAGCACGGCTCCGGCCAGGGACACCCACATGTTGTAGTACTTGAAGCTGGGGCGCCATCCTAGGGGTCAGAGAAACATTAGGTGGACTCCCTTAGAAGGAACCTCATAAAATGCACTTGGGGGCCAGCCATACCAAGGGGTGACAGCATATGACATTTGTCCTTCTTGTAAAAGACAGAGGGGCTTGAATGGGTTCTATAACCAAATTTAAGGAAGAAATTGTGAACTTGAACAGAGGTAGAATCCAAAAGGTTAGATCAAATCTGCCCCTCATGTCTATGAAGAACCCGCGACTCTATGGAGAGCTGCTTACCATAGCTGAAAGCTCTTTTTCATTTACAACTTGCATTACTTCTTCACATAACAAAACATTGTTTTTGTGAAATTACTGAATCATTAAAAAAATGGGAGGCGGCTTAATATGGCAATGTCACTGAATTAATAAGACAGCATGGATATTAAAAATGTAGTAAAGAATTGGAGTTAGCAACCAGTTAGAACATTGTACAAGTATGTTAGATCCACTGCTACTGGACACCTGTTTATTGGGTACTAAAGACACTAGACCAGTGGGAGTTTAGTAAGCTGGAACAATGGGGCACAGTTTGACTGTATGCACGGTTACACAATGACAAGAACTACAAAAAAAAACAAAGGACGTAAAGGGTACATTGTTTGTGACGTCATTCTTTGCCACATGACTGTTTTTACATGCACTCATGGGAGAGCGACAGTGGGCTCTAGGTGTCCAGAAAAGAAGGCGTTAGACATTGACAGTTTGAGTTTCCAGAGGCGAGAAACTAAGTGTCTATTGCCTTGCCTTTGGTGAGTCATGTACCCTTTAAGTCTGTGTAATTGAATGGTCTGTGCGGACAATGTCAGAATTAGATATCAACTCTGTACCTTCTGTTCTCCTAGGGTTTTTTGGTATTAAGGGAAAAACAAACATCACTTTATACAACGACTGCTGAACGATACAACAGCTTCTAAATATCACATTGAAAATGGTTAATCTGTTTCATCCATCATGACTAAAGCATAAGTGATTTCAACTAGGCATAACAAAATAACAGTCAATCTAAGCAGAGATCTTGATTTCTTGGCACCGATAGACTGACAGTTGAAACTGAGTGGACAGCGTCCATCTTGGATCGACTAAGTGATAATTATTGACACTGTGCCATCATGCCATCAAGCTAGCCTCAGTAATAAACCCCGTCCCCTGGAGGTTTGACCTCGACACAAATCAGTCAGACAAGGGTCTTATCAAATATACAGAATGTGTTACATTGAATAATAAAGAGCACCACGTTGCTTCTCAGCAGTATTGTTTTCAGCCTAATATTGCATGTGTATTATGAGTCTTTCCAAACTACTTTCCTAAGAAGCAGACTGCGGCCCTGATCAGATAAAGATCACAGTAGCCGTTACTTAATAAAACAACTGGCCGGATATGAAAATGTTCAGATAACTCAGGCATGTCATTACATCTGTTATCGCAAGGCTTAAGCCATGTGGGAATGGCAAAGATAGATAAGACTATGCAACACATACCACTGGAGCCATGTATATTATTCACTGAGAATCAGAGTTAGGACTGCCCCACCTCCCTCCACAATGTCAAGAGTCTGCCTTCAAGGTGATTTGCCAGTTCCTATACAGGCCCTCATAGAATGGCTGTGCCTAGCTTCTAGAAGAGTCTGCCTTCAAGGTGATTTGCCAGTTCCTATACAGGCCCTCATAGAATGGCTGTGCCTAGCTTCTAGAAGAGTCTGCCTTCAAGGTGATTTGCCAGTTCCTATACAGGCCCTCATAGAATGGCTGTGCCTAGCTTCTAGGAAGACCATGCTGTGGAAGTGTAAACAAATGTAATTAGTAATTATATAGTTGGCATACCAGTTTAAATAGGTATTCCTAGATGAGGCATTAAAAGTTAACCTAAAAAAACACTCTGTTGGGTATGATATCTTTTCCATGTGGCTAGCCTCTATAGTCAATGGAACGACTGAACTTGTGAGCCACCAGTGCATAACTGCATTGAAGTGGTTTAAAGGGACGACTCCTGTATGCCATGTGCTGGAAGTAATTAGTTTGGAAGTCCTATAATTTCCTATTCAATCTAGTTTTAAGCCAATAGGACTTGTGACTCAGCTCTTGTGACCAATTACTTAATTTAAGACGCTACTCTTAAAGACGAAATCAGAAGTTGAAACAATTACTAAGAGTTCTTCCCACCCGTTTTGGTAAAAAGCTGTCCAAAAAAGGATGTAACAACTGCAGATTGCCCCTTTAACTATCAAATCTAGGAGGTTTCGTCAGCAAAGTACCATCTTTGTATTTGTGGCTATAGTCAGGACCTTTGTGGCAGTTTTTTTGTCGTATTGAAATTCCGGTCTTTCTGCATATATAACTTTTGTTCAGGAAATGAGGCTGAGTGCCGTTGATGTTGGCCAGAGAGGCCTTACCTGGAGAGTTGGCCAGAGAGGCGTGGAACACAGAGAAGTTGATGAGAGCATAGGAGGCCAGGAAGAAGTTGGAGATGATGGGAGCGATAACGTTCAACTGGGCTAAAATAAAAGAAACAAAAATATGGCTGTTTAGATTAGCATTTTGTATATGTTCATTGGGAACTGTCCATAGACATTCAATAGTGCTCTTTAGGTAATTGGCAGTCCCAAACAGGACGGAACTATACTACTGAATGACATTACTGACACACAGCAAATGACATATTCCTGACATCCTACAGAATTTCGTATTGTGAACATCAGTGTCGTCATTAGATGTCTAAACCTGGATAGCGTACTACGTACCAATGAGGATGAAGGCCAGAGCGATGCAAAACGTGAGGATGTAGCCGCGGAGGGGCTCGTTGTTCTTGCCATAGCCCTTGGCGAACATCTCCAGGCCAGGGTAGATGTTGTCTTTACATAGAGCCTGGAGGAGAAGGAAAAACCATTGGAATTGGACACCGCTATACTAATCAGCGGATAGGACACTAGATGACGAAGGAACATTGGTATACGAGATCACACTCTTCCCTTTTATCTGCGTTTATGGGACAGTAACTAACAGGGCACGTTAGTATTCCATACCATATGGATAGTATAAGTATCAACTGACTAGCAGGGACAGAGGAGGAAAGCGGGATGTGGGGAGGGTAGTCTAGGGACTTACCTGGAACACTTTGGGGGCGCTGACCAGAGAGGCCAGGGCAGAGGACAGAGTGGCGGAGAAGATCCCGGCGGTGATGATGGGTCCGAAACCGGACACGATGCTCATGACCTGAGGAAAAAGCATGTGAAAGGTTAAATGGCAGAGTCCATATGTTTCTTCCACAACGGATGTCCCACCCAGGACCAAGAGGACCAAGTACGTTTTTCAAGTTCCCCTCACCACTCAAACGTGATATCGCTACACAATGGATGGCGTTCTAGGAGGGAAACACCACATAATCAGACATACCTGGAAGTCGTTCTGGAGTCCGTATTTGCAGTTGTAATTGCCGTCGTCACTCTTGCAGGAGGAGAAGTCATAGCCGAACTTGCATGCAGCGTCGGTGCAGTTGGCCATGAACTGGGCGCTGAGTGTGTCTGTGCCGTTTCCTGTGGCGTCTCTCACGATGCACGAGCCTTTAATGAACAACGAGAGAAATACAAAACGTCAAACTTTGTCTCTGTAATATTTATTGGGTCTTGTTAGGGGTGAATGCCACATACCAGTAGAAATTGCAACACCCAGGTAGACAATACCGGTGATCAGAATGGCCAAGAGTGTTCCTCTTGGAATGGCCAGTTGTGGGTCCTGTGAATAGAAAATAAATGCTTAGTCTCCAACATTGATTTCAAATCAAGTCCTACACACACACACACACACACACACACACACACACACCAGGCTTTTAAAAATCAAGACAATATAGGAGTTCCATTGATTGTATCCATTGTATATGAATTGAGGTTAGTCTTTTGCTTGTTTGTGATTTTGTTTTAAACAATGACCAGGGGTTCTTACAGAAAGGTCTCCTGAGATGTTGGCGCCGGCCAGAATGCCAGTGGCTGCAGGGAAGAATATGGCAAAGACTGAGAAAAACGACTCTGTGCCCCGGAAGTCCGGACCCATGTTCTCCATCATAATTGCACCTTAGAGCGAGGGTGGGGGTGAGAGAGCAATAGAGAGAGGGGGGGAGGAAGGGTTAAGCAAAACAAGAGAGAAAGCAAGACCGAGAGAAAGCGTTAAAACAGTGTGTATCTTAGGACAGTCAGACTCGATCAGTTGATCTCAGAGCTGGGAATCAGGCCACAAAGACAATTTCAAATAATCCAATTGGTTTGGTCTTGTGATTTCAGCAAAACATCTCTGGCACAACTTTTAGAAATAGTCAGTACTTCACGTCATGTACAGTAGTCATTTGGAGCTCATGACTTCAGAGAAAGATACATTAATTCAGAATTATTATAGCTCCACAATCCAACCCCCAGTAATGTGTCATCAATCTAATTGATAGGCACGTCTTTGACAGTCTTTACGTTTGCTCGACAGTCATGTCAGTTTGTGTTATGTAAAAGGGAGAACCAAAGGTGTCGTACTGTTGTAGCCGAAGAAGCCCTGCGACTCCTTGGATTGGAGGGGGATGAAGGAGCCAATAAAGTAGTTAAAGATGGCCGTGATCAGAACGACCAGCAGGAAAATCTGAGCCTGTGGACAGAATGAACATTTGGACAGGTTAGTTAGACTTTCACAACACCTCCCAACTACAACTAGCACTAGTCACAAAACAGAGCATGCATTAAATCTAGCCTATTGCACATCAATGTCTGCATTCACTCAGTCTGGAAGGAATTCCGCTTACTTGAGGCCAATTTCAGCTTGACATCAGAGACGAGTTGCAGTTCAACATCACCTTAAGTTCTAGATAGTCGTAGTTTGAGAGCTCTATTCAATCAAGCGTAGTTGTATGCTATCTAACCTTGGCTTCCCATTCCATCCCTGCCACGGAGATACCCAGGAGAAGGATGTTGTATGTTATCTAACCTTGGCTTCCCATTCCATCCCTGCCACGGAGATACCCAGGAGAAGGACGTTGTATGTTATCTAACCTTGGCTTCCCATTCCATCCCTGCCACGGAGATACCCAGGAGAAGGATGTTGTATGTTATCTAACCTTGGCTTCCCATTCCATCCCTGCCACGGAGATACCCAGGAGAAGGATGTTGTATGTTATCTAACCTTGGCTTCCCATTCCATCCCTGCCACGGAGATACCCAGGAGAAGGATGTTGTATGTTATCTAACCTTGGCTTCCCATTCCATCCCTGCCACGGAGATACCCAGGAGAAGGATGACTGTGATGGTGCCGACGATTCGGATGTCATTGATCTCATCCGTCATGATGCAATCCACACTCTGAGAAATCACAGGAAAATATCAACTTCACTGTCAGGCCAAGAGACAGGAGAAATCCTTTCAAATTCATCCCTGGCTTTCCGCTGTTCAGATACTTTGTGATAATGGCCATTTGAAAAAGCATTGCACATATTTTGCTCAAGTTATTTTCAACTGCTTTACAATTGAGTTTGAAACTTAACTCACAAAATAGAATGTACAATGCAACATAAATGAACCAACCACTTTCAAAAAGGCCCAAACTATTACAGAACACTATTAAAAAACAAAAAATGGAGGGGCATTAAAGTCTGATGAACAGAGAACATTATCCTCTAATACATTTCATGCTGCTTAGAGCTGACACCAAAGCATTCTTCAAATCAGCAAAGTGCAAAACAACTACCCTTGTCTGTGACTAAGGAGTGACCAATAAGCCATGATTGTACCACGCCAAGCCTTGGTTAAAATACTTGAAAGATCTCGAAGGAGAAGAGTCATTATTATGAACTTTGCATGAGCCCCCCTTAAAAATAGTGTGGGTTTTCAGTCCTCCTAGCAAACAACCCAAGAATAAATATTGAACAACAACATGAGAACCACAGCTTCCCTACCAAATGAGATTACGCTTGTTGAAGATGTTGAAACAATGTTCAAAACGGTAGTCTCGGTCAACATGGAGTAAATGAATCAGCATTACCTTCTGAGGAAAAACTACAGATGTCCCCAGAAAAAGAAAAATGCCTAAAAGAAAGAGTGAAAGAAAAGTAACCACCGATGACGACATTGGGAAGGATTCAGTGACTTACCATAAGGAGCTCCACGACGGTTTCGGCAAAGCCCACCACGTACATGGCGACGGCCACAGCGTTGGCAAAGGCGAAAATCAGACCGATGGAGCCGCCAAACTCTGGGCCCAAACTTCTTGATATCAAATAGTACGCCCCTCCTGACAGACAGACAGACAATTGGACAGACAGACAGTGGGACAGAGGGACATAGCATTTAAAACTGGGTTTCATTTAACGTCTCTCATAAAGGTTAAACACAAATAACTGTCATACGTAGGCTAGCCGATTGCATTTTCCTACATCAGTCAAACCTTCGCTGTAGTGCAGCCTAGTGCCATACACGCATCTCAACTACACCCTTAAACCAACATATCAGCTCAAACGAGAGCGGAGATGGTAGAATAGCTCCAAGACGTGAGACAAAATGAATTGACACATTTGGCCGCACAGTGAGTTCGCAGTCCAACAGGCTGAGTAGTGTTCCTTGTTGAGCTCTCTTTATGCCAAGTCTCTACTGACTGCATTGGAGAGCACCTCAAGTGCTCCTACAGACACGATTGGGGGACGAGACAAAGGCAGGAAGCAAAATCTCTGAGGGCATGAGTAGGTGGAGAAATTAATGTGGGGTTATTGCTTGAGGACATGGGGGATTTTCTTGCTGGTTCTCTTCGTGCCACTTAAATCAAGTACACTTAAGCGTCAAAGTCAGTATGTCAAATTGCATAACCGTTTTCCAGAGAGCACATTTTGTTTTGCCCTTTTGAAAAGGGGCATTTTGATATTGAGAGACCATTTGGAGGGAGATGTGGGAATAACTGGAATACTTGGAAAGATTAGTTTGGATGGGATTAGAAACCTACACGGTGCTGTGATTAGGAGTATTACAGTAAACCCTACGAATGGCATGTGATTTCAATCTACTCTTGACACTCAGTTCACTGCATCATAGTGCACCAACTTCCCCCTGCTAAAGCAGGTGCAGTAGCAGTAGTAGCAGCAGGGGGGATATTCATGTTTGAACATGTTACAGATATTACCAAGGGGCAAAAAAGGTTTTATCCTTGGTGAGAAGTTTTAGCATTCCACCGAAGGGTAATGGATTAGCCTACTTTGAAATAAATCAATTCAGAGGAGGAGCTGATGGTTACTGTGCTGTTCTAAACAAAACAACAGCCACTATATGGGGCCTCCCTTGCCGCCTGATGCCAAAGACAAATCGGGCCGTGGTAGACGTGAAACCTTATGAGAATTAATCGAATACGTGGTCTCCAGAGGTGTACCCCGCTGAAAACACCAATATCCTTTACTACGACAAGATGATTTAATCTTTTCCTCACCAGGATATTTTAGACAAAATGGAATCCTTGGTTTTCCCTTGCCCTCGCGGAGGGAGCATCCTAATATCCATTTCAGACCTCCCTGCCAGCACTGACCGCTCTCAGTGACTTGAGGGAGAACCACTGATTTAGAAACACACTATTGAATTTCCCCTCATGCTGCGAAAACTGGGAGCAATGTGTGGCCAGTGTTTTCCCCCCATCCTTTCATTCCATTCCAAATGAACTAGGGCACATCTCGTTGAGGTCCTCAACAGAGAATACATCTCCAGTTCCATGGATGAGGGAAGTAAATGATAGCCATGTCCAGCTGGTAAAAACCACACCTGTACAGGACACCTAATTCCATATCCAAACGCAGGGGACTAAGCAGACGTCATGTGAGCCGGCCACTGCTCTGCAGGTTGCATATTTGAATGGATTCCAGAGAGAAGTTCAATGATAAGTAAGACTATGGTTAGCGTGGGAACCCTCAGCCCAATTAATCCAAACATGCCAAGAAAAGGGAACAAAACCGCACTGTAAATCAGCATAAGGTCACCTTGAGCTACTCATCAGTCATGCATCATGAGAGACGAGGGTAGAATTTGGAATGCAAATCTGAGCACTGAGCAGATTGTTGGCGAGCCCTCTCTTGAATGAATATAAACTGAGCTATAATAATAATAATAATAATAATAAATAATAAATAATAATATGCCATTTAGCAGACGCTTTTATCCAAAGCGACTTACAGTCATGCATTTTTGTGTATGGGTGGTCCCGGGGATCGAACCCACTACCTTGGCGTTACAAGCGCCGTGCTCTACCAGCCGAGCTACAGAGGACTACAGAGGCTGCAGTATTAATATAATATATAATAATAATAATAATAATAATACAAATTGAGCTGCAGTATTAATCTATTGGTGAGAGTCATTTTTATACACCAGTGGCTAGTCTAGTGTTCAGAACAGCAGAGGTCAGATGGAGCTGGTAAAAACGGTAAACAAACTGGCTGGACTGTAACAGCAACAATGACAGTCTTGTAGTCTTGGTTTCTAACAACATGCCCTTGAGCTTTTTGATTAAGAGTTTCTGGTTTTTGTTATGGGTCCATAACATTATTATGTTTAAGGGCTCTCTGTTCAAGACGTGAACCAACAACAGCTATCAAATGTTTGCTTTGAAGATTAAAGGCAACCACGCACCTGCAGCCATCGACACCTGAAGAGCTACTGCTTCATCAGAGATGATCAAAGAAAGACTTGTGGCCATTAGCGCCAGACATTAGGCCTACGCTGATGGACATTGGCCAGGTGGGGTGGGCGAGGCAGAATGACGGTGTGGTGCCCCTTCCCATGACCTCCCAATCAGCCCACTGATGAACGCTTGGTGATCTAACCTGATGGCAACACCGGGGCAGAACGTTCCGTACTCCCAATTAAAACCACTCCACGCTTTCTTTATGCTCTGTTGGCAGTTTCTCCTCACAGTGGGGAGGAATTCACATATAGTGGGCTTGGAAAATAAAAACTCAACTAAATAACTGTTTCTGGACTTCACATTTGATGCATGCTCTGACATGCTCCGGTAGATTTGCATAACTTGACTGAAGGACTATGATATGATTGGACGAGAGGAGTAATTTGCATCAGAATTCTAGCGAAAGAGAAATCAGCGAGTGATCAGGGAAGTGATTTTTATATCTGGCAAAGGCACTCTCAGTCAGCCTCCTGTTGTTTGCAATATCCTGACCTTCCTCAAGGTAAAGAGATTAGGGAGTGGAGGCGATGGCATATCAAGGGCCCGGGGAAGGAGGGAGTTAATTAAAACCCAATGGTTTCGGATGTTAAGGGAAATGTACAGTGAAGATGTCCTTGACTTCCGAGGGGGCGAAATTTGAGCTGATAATTAAACCGAGACAAAATCAGCTTCCTCACAGAAGAAGAAAAACTCTGATATGGGATGTAACAAATTGAAGAAGGAAAACAACTTTAACTTCTGGACTTCCATTCACAACTATTCATTACCAGCTATGGAAATGGACCAAAACTAACCTAATCACCTATCGGTTGTCTTGACTAAAGCATGTGCTAATGGTGCAGTTGCCGACTCGCACGCCATTATCCGTAGTTGTGACTATTCGGCTCTGCTAATCCTCACAGCTGTTTCAGGTGAACTTTTAAGCTGAGGTAAAATGAATACCCAGCTCAACTCACCACAGGGCACCACGGACTATACCTGGATGAAACCCTGACTGACTGACAGCATCCTGAAGCCCGATTGAGTTATACTTGCCTGCACTGCAATGACTATACCTGGAGTGTCAGATTCATTACACCGTCAGAGAACGAGCCTTCCGTTACACAGATACTATAAGCAACACTACTTTACATGATACATTAGCAATCCATGTTTATTTACTTGTGTGTTTTATGGTTTCATAGAGGGATGAACACGGCAACTAACTAGTCCTATAGTAGAGACTAGTCCTATAGTAGAGACTAGTCCTATAGTAGAGACTAGTCCTATAGTAGAGACTAGTCCTATAGTAGAGACTAGTCCTATAGTAGAGGCTTGGAAGAACTGGGTTCTTTGGAAACACGCTTTAAAGATGCAAGTTTGACAAGTTTTACCTCCTCGTACAAAGCCGTTGGTCGCAATCGCTGAGGTCGAAAGGCCGGTGATGGTGGTCACAACTGTTGCCATGAGAACGATCACACAGGAGAGAACTGTGAAAGAAAATGGAGGACATGATTAACAAACGACAAAACAAAATCTGCATTAACATTTCTACAAACTCCTAGGAGGCAAATAACTGCAATAATGAGCAGCTAATTATCTGCTTTTTGAGGCTCTCCCCTCTCTCTACCTCTCCTGGCATTCACACATTCTGAGAAGGCCTGTGAATAGTAGCGATGCCGCTAGTGTGTGACAGTTGACTGCATATGTCGCCGTGTGGCAACATTTCGCATCTGGACGGTGAATGGTCGAGAGGTGAGGGGAGGAGGAGGAGGGATGGTCGGGAGGGTGAGGGTTTGGGGTGAGGTCGTGTGAATTAAAAGAGTAATTCACATAGACTCCCAAGCTCAACTCCAGGGTGTCGTCTTACCAATTCCCGCCTGGCCAACGATCCATGACATGCGGATGAAGAGCATCACGCCCCAAATGTTCAACATGCAGCGCACCTGCACAGAGAAAGGGGTGGCAGTTAGGATGCATGTCCGGTGACGTGAACGCTTCACTCAGAGCGCTTTCCAATAACCTGGTCTTGGAACATTGCCGGTGGGAATCCACTGATTATAATGTTAAAAAGGGCAAAATTCCAAACCTAGTGAAAGTAGCAGTTTTGCCTTGGCACCGACCTCTACGAGCACCAAGATTGCAACTTAAGGTTAGAAGAACGGTTCAAACAGTGATTAAGGTCCTGATATAAATTGGGAAACTCTTTGGACAACAATGAAATACATGATATGAAATGTTGATATCAGTGTATGACATGCTAAAAGAAATGTTGGCTGCCAAACTATGCCTCTCTTTAAAAGATAACATTTGAAAACCTGGCCAAGGCTGATGTAAGTAAAAAATATAATTAAGAAAAACTTATAATAACTAGTCTATATCTAAAATCTAATCACTGTCAACCTCTAAGAACATTCATTAATATCTACCACAGTTTTATCCATTTCAGTGCAAATATCTTGTCATCACCTAAAACTCATTAACCACGTTTCCATCCACAGTAAAGACCTAATCGTATTTTTTTTAAAATTATGACAGCTGTGATGGAAACAGGAAGTTTCGGTGTAATTGTATAAATGCCGCCAATTTGTTCGTTCGACATTGTGGGATCTTTGTGTCGGTAAAATTAATTATGCGGGAAATGGCGGTGGAAACGCCTTTAAGTGCAAATATTGATATAATAACTATAATTTCGAAGTAAACTTGGAGTCACGCAATGACATGATGTGTGGTCCTCCCACTAAAACTCGGGAAAGCAAGCAGTTTATTAGGCTACAGATGAAATAAATGATGAACTTTACACGGTAGTGAAAGTGCACGGTGATGAGCTTGATGCTCCTTTCCAAGCATACTCTGATGACATGATGATCGATGCTTGACTGCCGTTTGACAAATAAAAATATTATATCCATAATAATCTCATCATGTAGACTAGCCAACCTCACAGCCTACCCATACTGTATCTGGAAGCGGTTGGCTAGAGCGCACGTGCCAAGACCAGAGTAGGCATCTTTGCTATTTATCGCAACAGTCTTTGTGACAAAACTATCAGTAGAGTTGAAAATGAGGATGTAGTTAAAAGTACTGTACATTTTGAAAACTATGCACTGTGTGACAAGTAGCTACAACAATGCACCCCAGAAGTGCACATTTTGGTTTTTGTCCTAGCACTACACAGATAATTCAAATAATCAATTAATCATCTAGGTTTAATTCTTTGAATCAGCTGGGCAAGGACAAAACAAACTAAACGTGCTCCTGTTGGGAGATACTGTGCTACAACCATGCCAGATTCTCACACTAGAGCAGGGGTGTCAAACTAATTCCATGGAGGGCCTAGCGTCTGCTGGTTTTTCCTTTCAATTAAAGCACTAGACAACCAGGTGAGGGGAGTTCCTTACTAATTAGTGACCTTAATTCCTCAATCAAGGGAGGAGCGAAAACCCGCAAACACTCGACCCTCCATGGAATGGGTTTGACACATGTGCACTAGTCTCTCAGAAACATGCTTTGGCCTGGACAGACCTGGAAGGATTAATCAGCAAAAGCAATTCTCGCTAGGATCCTGAGTAGAGTGTGATCGACACTCACGCATACACACCTCCGTTTGGTGACACGCTCATGTAGTCTACCACTTGTTGCTAGACTACAATACAAACTAACTGCAACAGGAACTAATAAAAATATGCTAAGACAGCCAAGGGTCTTTAGTCCAATGATAATATGTGCATCTTGATATCTGAATTCCAAAATAATTTTAAGTAACCACCTGGGAACTTTATACTACAGAGCCTGATTGTGGGAGCCTGAAGGAATGTTCTGTACTTTGAATGAGAGGGCAAATGTAAGCAAGGTTTGAAATTATTAGGTTTTAGTCAAACATTAGATCTGTTTGGGCTTCTTGCGGTCTAGAAATGTGTATTTATGTTCGGCGGGAGCACCCCCCCCCTCCCCTCCCCGCAGCTGAATCTAGATGATGATCCCTGGTCTATGCCATTGAACACTGTTCAAGAATAACTCGAGGACACTGCATTCCCTACAATGTCAGGACTAAAAAGAGAAGTGCTTATGCGGTACCAATGGTAGAGGCAGAAACTTCACATTGGTCCTCTGTAGCTCAGTTGGTATAGCATGGCTCTTGCAACGCCAGGATAGTGGGTTCGATTCCAGGGACCACCCATGCGTAAAACATTTATGCAAGAATTACTGTAAGTCACTTTGAATGAAAGTGTCTGCTAAATGAGACACACACACACACACACACAGTGTCATATAACAAAAGGTAACCAGGAGTACGCTCTCAGGATGTCCAAAAGGTCTGACCAGAGTCTGTCGGTTGACCACTCACCAGCACCCCTTTGATCCATCCGAACTTGACCGCTCCCTTCGGCTCGGACGCCTCCTTGGCTGCGGCCTCCTCGGCCGGGGTCAGCTCATCCCCGTTGGCGAAGCCATCCTCAAACGGCTCCTGCAAACAGAATGAGACAGACAGGCTATGGTCAGCACACAATGGAAAAAGACCCTTAAAGTCATGTGCAGTTGACACATCTGAATACTATTATCTCTGAATTAAACTGTCATTAATTTCTATGAACACTCTACCAGATCTAATTTGTATCTTTATCTGACATAGAATACTCCCTCACTCTCACACACAGACACCGACCGATTCATCTGTGCATGTATCGGTCTGTAGAAGGTCAAACACAGGAAGCATCCCTGCTGTGCAGAGACAATGCCGTGACGTGAGTGGCTGCCCACTGGGTCGGTCTCCCAGGACGCCCCCAGTCTGCAGTCACCCCAGCCCACCCTCACAAGGGACAGCACAGGAGAGGAAGCCAAGCATTCAAAGGCCTTTACAACATCTCGTCCCTGGAACCCCCCACCTATTAACGCATAAATAAGGCCCAGACAAAGACAAAGCTCGAAGACAGGATCTTACATTAGCGTCGACTTCCTGCTTTACTGGCACTGAACCAAAGGCTGATCCCAAACGACATTTACACATGTATAGTGATTAACCCACTCGCCACTGGCAGTGTGGAAAAATAAGTAACCATCGACTGACTGCATGCAAATGTCCGCCCGGCTGCACACTCGAAAGGGTATTGACGTTCTGGCAGCGTTCGTACACCGCTCAGGCCCAGAGAGAGGGCCAGACACGGGTCCGCAGTCTCCGTTTCAGGAAGATTGAGACAGGAACAGGAGATAAGGTCTAGCCGACGTAACAATACAGGGCTTGTTCTCTTCCACGGTCCTTCATTTACCTAGGATTGGCATTCCGAGGCCCGCGACGCCACAGACTTTAAGTGAGTTGTCGTACTGTGCCCTGAGGCACATTAGAGGGTGATGAGATGACGTGGAGAGTGTTCATTGAATGTATGGATGGATGACCTTGGGTTTATTGATAGCCCCAGTCCGCAGGGTGACCGTGTCACGTTACAAAGCAGATACAGGCTGGCTGATACAGCAGGGACATTGCCCTCCGTATTTCAGTGATCAGGACAGTGATGTTCACCCCGCTCCAGGCACTAGGAGACATGGACTCATCATGCTAGCTATCGGATGGGCACATTTATTGGCCAGCATTATCGAGTTGCAGGACAAAGCGCCACCATTCCACGATCATTCATTTAATTTGCCTCAACTTTCATTCTGCCCATCATGTACATAGTGACTAACTTAACTGTTCTGCAACGTACGCTACTATAGCTACTGATCGACGACCAATGCAGAATGACTTTGCACATTTTCTACCTGTAAAGATCAAGAGATCATGAGTCATACAAATGAGAGAGATGCTAGATGTGGTCTCTATCCTCTCCATGCGTCACTCACAGCCCTCAGGACAAGTGCAGCATACTGTGTCTCTAGAGAAAAAAGGTGAAGAGTGTAGCATCTCCTCCTCACACCCTTCCCTTGGGGTTCTCTTGCCCTCTTCCTCAGCATTCTGCGCTTCTCCCTCAAGGACGACCCATCCCCTCTCACTCGTCTTAGCAACCACCGTGCTGCCTGAAGTAACGCTGAGCTGCACTCAGCCGCTTAACAGAATAGCCTACCCCAAGTGTTTGTGTATTATCTGATGGTAAAGAGGATTCTGTCGGGAAGCTCCGACACTATCAAACAAAACGTAATCCTTCCTTTGGGTTTTGGGTATACAGGAGATTAAACAGGTTCGTGGAGGGATGAAACCTATGGGGGGAAACCGCACCATCTACTCTAGCATGTCGGGTAGGTAAATTGATCGGAGGTGTGGTTCCATTACAATGGGTATATAAATAGGTGTGTAAATTATAAAAGAGCACGGCGCCTCTGGCATGTACCCCAGCATGACGGGGATAGACTGTGTGGAGGGAGGGGGGGGGGCTCGTCTTTGCCTCGCCAAGGCCATCTGTCAACAAGAGCTCCCTGCCTGCGTCCCCTAACAATGACTCAGCAGCTTCGATGGGGTCTGGTAGTGGCAGGTACACTGGGCTACAGAGGGAGGTGATGGGAGATTCTAGGAAATTAAAAAAGGGACGGTATTGTCGGTTGGCTCGGGGTGGGGGGGGTGGGGGGGTAACCAACCTCTTCTCAAACAAAACGAGCACGTCTCAGCTATGATAGCAGTGAGATTGGAATTTGGCAGTCCCAATTCCAAGCTCACACCAAATAAATCCTCATAAAAAGCAGACAAACTAACATTTGCTCTGAACACAGGAGGAAGAGAAGATCCGGAAACCAACAAATAGTATTAGGTCATGGAACCAACAACAGATGAGCTGCTAGTGAGGGGCAAGACCCAGAGCCTCCGGAAGTGAGTCATGCATCCCAATTAACTCTCAGCTCACTCTCTCTTTGTTAGTCAGCAGCCCTCGGGGCGTCTCGGAGAGCTGAATGGGACACCGGAATCGTCTGAATGTCGTTGAGCAGATATGACATCAGCCATTGTTGGAGAGGAGCCCTGAAGCCAGCTAGTCGGTCTGGAATATCTTCAGCGGATCAGCAGTTTTTTTTAAAGAATACCCATGTTGAGACATGTCGGGCTCATCGTCAGCAACCTACTGTTCAGAATAAAATATTTCATTGCTTGGCCTTCCAGTGAGTCTAAAAAGTCACTACATTCTACAGGGGGGTTTTACAAAGCAGGGAAAGAATTCACACATCTAGAACACATGTCCTCTAATCACTTTTGGCATGCTCACGACCTGAGCCCGAGAGATTACTAGCACCATGTTGACCAGGAGTACAGTCTTTAGATCTAAAAGTGACCTTGTCAGTCACAAGTACGTGTTGAATGTTAACAGCTAGCCAATTACCCGGTGCCTTAAATTAATAACCAATGATGATATCTTGGTAGAGCAGGTGGTCAGTGTCAATTACATCAAAGATGCTCGCTATTCACTGTGCACATTATGGGCTAATTCTGTCCTAAATTAGCATTTCATGTGAACAGTCATCCCATATGATTAGGGCTGACCCCATTTAGTCGACTGGTGGATTGTTTGGTCGATAGGCTGTTGGTCGACCCAGATTTCTTTAGTCCAGCAGTCAAAAAACTAAAATAAATAATGGTGTACAAGACACCTGTCTGATTGGCGCCTGTCTGAGTGGACTGATCCACCGTGGAGGCCAAGGGGATAGCACAGTCCATCACTCGAAGACATGTGGTACTGAAAATGTATATGGTTATTTTATGTAAGAACAATGGTGCAACACTAATAAAAATATTATTTCATAACAAATGCGCTTTCTCCCGCGTTGGATAGTGGTCGCTGTCCGCTGTTCTGAAACACATTGTGCACTGCTGAATTGGCGCCTTTTCCTAGACCATGTTGCCCTTGCCTTAATGGTCTAAGAAAACTGAGGAGATGAAACCAAGTTAATTAGGTCTATAATCAATAGCCTAACTTAAAATGTGCCTGGCTTTATAAAATCATCCATCAATCCACACAAAAGTATGTGGACACCCCTTCAAATTAGTGGATTCGACTATTTCAGTCACACCCGTTGCGGAGAGGTGTATAAAATCGAGCACACAGCCATGCAATCTCCATAGACAAATATTGGCAGTAGAATGACCTTACTGAGGAGCTCAGTGACTTTCAACGTGGCACCGTCATAGGATGCCACCTTTCCAACAAATCAGTTCGTCAAATTTCAACTGTAAGTGCTGTTACTGTGAAGTGGAAACATCTAGGAGCAACAACGGCTCAGCCGCGAAGTGATAGGCCACACAAGCTCACAGAACGGACCGCCGAGTGTTGAAGCGCGTAGTGCGTAAAAACGTCTGTTCTTGGGTTTGGCGGATGCCAGGAGAACACTACCTGCCCCAATGCATAGTGCCAACTGTAAAGTTTGTTGGAGGAGGAATAATGGCCTGGGGCTGGTTTTCATGGTTCGGGCGAGGCCCCTTAGCTCCAGTGAAGGGAAATCTTAATGCTATAAAATACAATGACATTCTAGACGATTCTGTGCTTCCAAACTTTGTTGCAACAGTTTGGGGAAGGCCCTTTCCTGTTTCAGCATGACAATGCCCCTGTGCACAAAGCGAGGTCCATATATCAATGGTTTGTCGAGATTGGTGTGGAAGAACTGACCTGCACAGAGCCCTGACCTCAACCCCATCGAACACCTTTGGGATGAGTTGGAACGCCGACTGCGAGCCAGGCCTAATCGCCCAACATCAGTGCCCGACCTCACTAATGCTTGTGGCTGAAGTCCCCGCAGCAATGTTCCAACATCTAGTGGAAAGTCTTCCCAGAAGAGTGGAGGCTGTTCTAGCAGCAAAGGGGGGACCAACTCCATATTAATGCCCATGATTTTGGAATGAGATGTTCGACAAGCAGGTGTCCACATACTTTTGGTCATGTAGTGTATATCTACAGGAATAAGACAGATCCTGCTTCTGTTGCCTGTTTGAGTGTTTGTTTAAAAGCCTACTGATTCTGTGAGCACTAAGCCTCACGCAACCACAACATGTCGGATAAACAATAACAAATTCAGCGGGTTATAATCTTTGCTATGATGTAATAAAGGACACTGTTCCAAATTGTCAGAAAACATAATAACAACCATGCTTTTTCTTTTTCTCCTTATTGTTATTATTACTATGATCATCATTATAATAAATAAGTAATGTCATTATCATTAGTAAGCTTATATAACAGCCTTCTATAACCACCATCGAGGTGTAGGCGTAAGAGCGCATCCTGTTTAGTCTTCACACCGTAAATTACTTAGGCCTATATTTCAACATATAGGCTACTGTATCAATCAATCATTCGTTCATGTCATCACACAGCATACGAGTCATTCATGATTTGAAATGGAATCAAGCATTTTTGTTTTAAAATAAAATAAAGCGACCCTTGAATAATTTGTGTAAACAATAAATAAAACATTCCATTTCGGAAATTGCATTTACAAATGAATGCGACTGTTTTTAGTCTTTGCTATAATAAAGGCTTTAGAGGAAAACAAAATTGATTCTCTGGTACGCTTATAATTAAATGTAGTGTTGTTTACATTGTTCCAAACGGTCAGGAAAATTATATTGTAATCGAACAGCACCTGTTTGGGCACACATAATATCCACACAGCGCTTACGCTTTACCTTTCTCTTGCTCTCCAGTATTTTCCAAAACTAGTCAAATTTATTCCACACATCTGACTTCCCCTTTACCTCCTGAGGAACCAGTAAACATTCCCGCGTTTCTAGTTTAGTTTATATGTCACGTCCTCTTCATCCATTTTGCTGTCACGTGTTACGGTTTTCGGAGTTTGTTATAACCAATTTATTGATGTGATTATGATATGCTATAGGTCAGGCCCTATTGGTCATGTGCATGCGATGCATACATGTGTCACGTAAAGAGAGCAAGGATTGAGGGAATGTTTTTCTTAAAATTAGGGATTTCGGTAACATAACTTTTCAGTCAGAAATGGCTGTAATTATGTTGCAGCTTCAACAACATGGACAGCGTGATAAACACTTTGATGTTATGTGGTGGTCGCTGCAGCAGGAAGTCACTGGCTGTCTTTTAATTTATTTTTAATTTATTTTTACACAGAGGACCAAGTCTGAGCCCGGCTCTGCACAATGAAATCAATTGCGGTCATCCTCCCTCTAGTCATTTGTGTGCGATGTTCCCTCTAAGCTACACACGGACGTGCCGAGACTGCTGCGCAGCTCCCCCCGGGACGCGCAGAAGAAAATTCAGCCCACGAGATTGAAAGAGTTTTCCCTGTTAGTTAACACTATCAACGTTTCCCTTTACTGTGGCAATTGTGATCGAATCAACGCAATATTATCCTTTGCTAGTTAGTGAGTTATTAGCCCAGTTATAGATAATTTGTAGTCAGCAATAGGGGAGGGATTGCTTCCTACAAGAGCACAAAACGTGTACATTTCTAGACATCTTTGAAAAGCAAGTCAGGTAAAGAGCTTCTTTTTTATTTATTTTTTAAAAGGGGCAGTGTTGTATTTTGAGACATGCTTGAATAAGCTAAGTAGCCATTAGGCAGAGGGTAGCATAATTTGTCTGATTCTCTGTTATAATCATATGGAAATACTAATGCATTTTATTTTGTGTAGTGGTTTCTTGCATCAAACGCAACAACATTTTCAGTCACCTCCTTGTCTGAAGGACAAGTGGATAAACAGGTTCATGTCAAGCCCTGCATGTTTATTTTCAAAAGCCTCATGGAATGTAGACCTACATTGAACACCACACATTGGCTGCTCCTGTAGGCTGAATGATAGAACAGCTATTTCTTTTCTTTTTTTTGTAGTCAGCCATGTTAAAATATTATGGGATGCATTTTCTCCATTGTTTTTGATGGTAGGCCACTCTGGTAGGTCTACATTATGCTCAAATAGCCACAGTAGCCTACTTGGCCACTGTTAAAACTAATTTAAAGCAAGTGTTCACAGTAAATGAGTGCTGGAAGTTGCACAGAATTTTCACAACGTTCAGGTTTGCGCTCAGTCCCGAACAAAATTAGAGGGAACATTGTTTGTGTGCCTTAATTATTTTATCAAACAGTGAGCTTAAAGCATCAGACAAGCTCAGTGCATATAGTTGATTTGATTAAAAAAAACACATTGGATGTGTCTATATATGGAAAAATACGTTTAAAAATGTCGACCAATCGATCGGTCGACCAAGATTTTGTATTGTTTTTGTCGGAGACAGCCCTACATGATTTTATTTATTCCTTTTACCGGTTGATCACATAAAGCTGTTTAGGTTAAGGCTTCTTGTTTTACATTCCCCCAAGAGTGTGCCAAAAACCACTGGCAAAGTGATAGCCTGGTCCCAGATCTGTTGTCAAGACAACACAAACAGATCAGGAACCAGGCTAGCAAAGTGATACCGTATCTCTGGAATCACCCAGGGGTTTTGACTCCCTTGTAGAAACAAAGCTGGGTCAAAAGGAAGTCATCAGATAGCCTAATGGCAACAAAATACGGTGGGGGAAAAAAAGTATTTAGTCAGCCACCAATTGTGCAAGTTCTCCCACTTAAAAAGATGAGAGCGGCCTGTAATTTTCATCATAGGTACACCTCAACTATGACAGACAAATTGAGAAAATAAAATCCAGAAAATCACATTGTAGGATTTTTAATGAATTTATTTGCAAATTATGGTGGAAAATAAGTATTTGGTCACCTACAAACAAGCAAGATTTCTGGCTCTCACAGACCTGTAACTTCTTCTTTAAGAGGCTCCTCTGTCCTCCACTCGTTACCTGTATTAATGGCACCTGTTTGAACTTGTTATCAGTATAAAAGACACCTGTCCACAACCTCAAACAGTCACACTCCAAACTCCACTATGGCCAAGACCAAAGAGCTGTCAAAGGACACCAGAAACAAAATTGTAGACCTGCACCAGGCTGGGAAGACTGAATCTGCAATAGGTAAGCAGCTTGGTTTGAAGAAATCAACTGTGGGAGCAATTATTAGGAAATGGAAGACATACAAGACCACTGATAATCTCCCTCGATCTGGGGCTCCACGCAAGATCTCACCCCGTGGGGTCAAAATGATCACAAGAACGGTGAGCAAAAATCCCAGAACCACACGGGGGGACCTAGTGAATGACCTGCAGAGAGCTGGGACCAAAGTAACAAAGCCTACCATCAGTAACACACTACGCCGCCAGGGACTCAAATCCTGCAGTGCCAGACGTGTCCCCCTGCTTAAGCCAGTACATGTCCAGGCCCGTCT